TTCATATATTATTTACTTTATTTCAATGCATTTTAGGGTCATGGTCATGGTCTCTATATTTCTCAATCTCGGCCTGTATCTCAAAATCAACCTCCTTTTGCCATGGGTCATACAAGTGTTCATCATGTCATGTATCCTACATATGATGTAAGTTATAATTGGTTACATACTTTACATTCAAATGATAGTATACATGGTATCAATATTTTAATAAATTTAACATTATTGTAGGGAAGTAATATGCCTTAGTCAATGCCTTTAGCCTATCCCACTCAGACATCGTTTCAGGAATTGCTTCGAGGTACTAGTGTTCAACACTTTGCAATCCAAATGTCGCAAGCCTCACATAGTCCCGCTGACAATCATGTAGATGGACATCCCTGAATGAACGATGATGTTATTATATCTTGAGATTTGGGTGTATTTTTTTACGTTGTTCGGATTTGGGCCAATTTTTATGTTATTTTTGCAATAGGAACAATGTTTGGAAATAGCTACTGATATGTTGTTAATAAGTTAGTTGAGTTTGTGATATATTGGACACAAATTGTGTAGATGGACATCCCTGCAGCTTGTGTAGCCCCCTTACATGTGTTATGTGATATGTTGTTATTATTGGCCATTTAAAGACAAGCAAATTCTGTTATTCATTGGTCAAGTTTGGACTGGTTGGCTTACTTCACCTTGAATTACTGGTTTGCTTAATGGGTTGGTTGAGTTTGTTATTATTCCACCTATTCTCATGCTATACATGGGCTTACTTCATTTTGAATTCCAGCAGTGAACTATCTGGGAGCAAAAATGAGAATATGATGAGAATAGATGAATTTTGTGGATTCCAACTTTTCACTTCATTTTGAATTCCAGCTTTTTTTTATTATTTTGCTATACAGTGCATCTGGGAAGATGAGAATAGATGAATTTTGTGGAGGATAAATGCTAACAATTTTTAAATTCAAATAAATGAGAGAATAACTAATAGCTACATTCAAATAAATGGGGCACCAACCAACCCGCAATACATTACTAATACCAACATTCTTACAATATATACATTACATGGATAAACAAAGACAAATACATTACTTCTATTTCCAACTTGCATATATATTATTACATCTTCATAACTAATACAATACTAATTACAAGCAATAGGAACAACCCATACATACGACACGAACTTCGATTTATGTTTGCTTCCAATTTAATCATCTCCACGCTTTGAAATTGAAGTCGTTCGCTTTGAAAGTGAAGTTGTTCGCTCATAAATCGAAGCTGTTTGGCGACAGTTGGCATATTTTCCATTTGCACTTCTCCTTCAGCTCTACATTGTGCATTTGTAGGCAAACACTATCCAATAAAACCATTACAATCTTGACAACAATAAAATAATTTGTTTCTGTTTCGCTCCGTCTCGGAAATTTGAATAGTTGTTTTTTTATGACATTTAGGACAATTTTTGTTCAAAATGTCAATTGATTTGGTGTACTGCCGTTAACACTTGAAGTTGATATCTGCAAAAATATAGAGCCAAAGTAAACGAAGATGTTCATTTAGAATATGAATAAAAAACTAAGATGTTTTAGGAAACAAAGAGCTCAATAAATTGACTAGAACCTAACTTTCTCCTCATTCAATGCAGGTTTTGGTTGTTATCTAAAACTGCCAAGTTGTGGATGGAAACAAGAAGAATCAGCCCAAAGAACCTTTGAGATTGAAATGCTGGCAGGCATTCTTGATGATTTCAAAATGGTTTCATATCACTTTGCTCTGTCACTCTCTTCACATGTGTGCATATATTTACGTAGCTGTAGTGTCGAGGAGAATTGACTAGAACCTAACTTTCTCCTTATTCAATGCAGGTTTTGGTTGTGAGGAATGACTTGAAGATGGGGAAAGGAAAGATTGCTGCGCAATGCAGGTGGCTACCAGATGTCTTTGTTATTGGACATTTAATAAAAACTAGCTGCTATATTGTTTTGTTAATTGTAGATTTTTCAACCATTGACTTAGTAGTTTAAACTATTAGGTTTAATATAAGAAACAACAAAATTACATCTCAGCATAAGAAATTTGATGTCATCTAGCAGGGCGAAGAGAAATTGGGCATAGCAGAGGGTATTTTTGTTGTCTATTACAACTCAATGGAGGGACAAACTGACTCAACTCAAGTCCAAGAGGAATTAGGCATAGCAGGGGGTATCTTTGTTTGTTGTCTATTACAACTTAATGGATACTCAATAAGGCTTCCCATTTTCTTGAACAACAGTCTCAACAATTATAACAGTCTCAACAAATACATGCAGTCTCAACAATTTACTTCTGAGGGCTATAATATATACAGTCTCAACAAATACAACATCAATTTTTCTAACAATTTCACAAATTTCAGCAAACCTCAGCAGCCACAATTTCACGAAATATTAAAATTTCACAAAAACAGCCCACAAAATTCAACAAAAGTAAATAAACAACAGTCTACTTCAACATCAAATTACTTCTTTGTTTATGTATTTGTAAATGCATGTAATGTATTTATTACAGCCCACAGAAGTTGAAGTAGACTATAGAATAACAGTCTACTTCAACAAAGACAATACATACATTACATGCATATATACAGTCTACTTCTACATTACTTCTACTTCCAATAGAAGTAAATGAACAATATCAAATTTTCCAAGCCTCTTAACAAATCATTCCATTCAATAAAAAAATTGATAGAATTAATAAAACCTCAACAAATTAATAAAACCTCAGCAGCCTAGAAAATTAATTAATAAAATTAATAAAGCCTCAACAATTTCACAAATTAATCAAATTTCACAAAAACAGCCATGAAAATTCATCAGAAGTAAGGGGAAAGAGACAGAGAGAGAGAGAGAGAGAGAGAGAGAGAGATGAAATTTCTAGCTAGTTTGAAGGCTCTCTTTGGATGAATCAAAGAAGAAGTGGAGAAAGAGAGAGAGATGAAATTAACCTCGTCAAACCTCAACAAATCAACACCAAATCTGTGTTCCTCTCTCGCCGCCTCTCTGTCTTCGTCTCTCGCTGGGTCCACTCGTCTCACCACCGCCTCTCCATCTTCATCTCTCGCCACCTCGCGTTCATTGCCTCTCTCGTTCAATGATCTGTTTAGAAGCTCTGTTCGTTTCTCTCAGCTAGAGCTGAACAACCAAAAGAGGCTGAAAATAAGAGGTGGGAGAAAAGAGGGGGGAAAAAAAAAGAGTCAAAACGACGTCGTTTTGACGCGCGGAAGGAAGGGCCGCAGGAAAATGCTACCGAGGATCCGGACTCGGGGGATGGTTAGTGTGAAATTGTGACCTCTCAATGTCCCTGCCCTTGGTCTATGACCTCTCATTGTCCCTACTCTTGGTTTAAGGTGTAGCTAGAAAAGGATGTTTCTAACTTCAGAGTTCGTTATTGTACTCCTAAGCTTTTTGCTAATAAATTTTCAAGATCACTTGTATGGTTGTTTTTTTGAGTAATGTTATATAAATAAATATTTTTTACAAATTAATATGAGAGTAAGGTCTTGTTTAAGAACAGGTTTTTTTAGTAACTTTTTAAATTTTAGGCTAAAATATGATGTAAAAAAATTAGTATGTTTGGGATGACATTTTGATTTTTTACGAAAAGATGTATAAAAAATAGAAAGAAAATTGAATCTTTGACTTTTTTGTATAGGTTGTTGGCTTTTTTATTTTTTTAGTAACTTTTTGACTAAAAAAGCCATTTGTCAAACGAAACTTAAGTTGTTACTATCATTTAAATGGAGAGCAAATAAATCTCATCTCAAACACTAATACTTGTATTGCACATCACATAAGTTTGCATTAATAGTTCATACAAAAAAATCTACAAAAATTAGTTTTTTTTTTAATATATGTATATATAGCATTTTTTTCACATTGTTTCATAGAAAGTTTAAAAAATGGATTTAGCTAGTTTGCTTGTAAACATTAGTATTCAAACTTGCTAAAACTTGGAAATATGATAAGCTAATTGAAACTAAAAAGTTGGAGTACCCACAAGATCAATATTTCTTGGCCCTCAAGAGAAAGGAAAATGGGCTTTCACTAAGTTTTTTGTTTTTTATTTTGTTTATGACGAAGGAACCCTCCAATGCAAGGTTACATTGAATTCATCTCTGTAAGCTAAATCTAAAATACCTACAATCACCCATAAACCACGTGCAGCAAATAAGATAAGGTACTAATAATAGTGTATTTTTATTTTATTTAATTTTTGTAGCTCAAACTTCTGAGTTTACATTTGATCCCAAGCCTTAAATATTTGACATAGCTTGGCAAATTTTTTATTTTTGGCCAAATAAAAGGAGAATAAAGAAAGAAAAACTATATCTATAACGATATGACTCAAACTTAGACATCATATCCCATAAAAGAAACAACAAGAAGATATCTTAACTTTCGAGCCAACTCCTTGTGATGGGATTCAAAAGTGGGAACGTTCACTAGGTTGGTGTGAAATTGTGACCTCTCAATGTCTCTCATTGCCCCCGCCCTTGGTCTATGACCTCTCATTGCCCCTGCCCTTGGTTTAAGGTGTAGCTAGAAAAGGACGTTTCTGACTTTAGAGTTCGTTATTGTTTTCCTAAGCTTTTTGCTAATAAATTTTCAAGATCACTTGTGTGGTTGTTTTTTTGAGTAATGTTATATAAATAAATATTTTTTACAAATTAATATGAGAGTAAGGTCTCACTTGTATGGTTGTTCACTTTCGGTTTTGGGTAAATTAATACAAAATCGTTGGCTGACTTAAAAAAACTATTTTAAAACTTAAAATAATGATATTCTGTTGAAATTCAACACCAAGGGGAGGAGACTTGTGAGACAAGGATTCATGAAATTGTTCGTGTCTGATGGGCTAGTAGTGGGTGCACCAAACTCCAACATAAGTTAACCCTCTGATCTGACCATCGTGCTGAATCAAAACCTAATCTGCCAACCTCAAACCACCCTCTCTCTCCTCTTCTCCTCCTATAAAATCAATCTCTCTCTTTCCCACTCTCACAATTAACCATTAACACTTCAAGGCCAGGCCAAGTAAAGATGGAAGCTTTCAACACTCACTGCTCTTTCTTCCTCCTAAGCCTTTTGCTTCTCTTTGCTAATGCATTGCCCTTCTTAGCTAATGCAGAAACTCAGTATCATGAATTTGTAGTATGTCTCTCTCTCTCTCTCTCTCTCTCTCTCTCTCTCTCTCTCTCTCTGTTTATTCATCTCTCTCCTTGGGAACACTTGCTGATGTTTATGGAACAGGTTCAAGCAACCCCAGTGAAGAGGCTGTGCAACACCCACAACACCATCACGGTGAATGGGCAGTTTCCGGGACCAACGTTGGAAGTGAAGAATGGAGACACTCTTGTGGTCAACGTCGTCAACCGAGCTCAATACAATGTCACCATTCACTGGTAATTACTGCATGAATGCAAGCATGCATTAAAATTATACAAGCCTTCTTTATATGAAAATCCTATATGTAGTAACTTGCATTTTTAGTACTACTCACTACTATGCTCCTGCAGGCATGGCATTCGTCAGATGAGAACAGCATGGGCTGATGGGCCAGAATTTGTGACTCAGTGCCCGATCAGACCTGGAGGGAGTTATACATATCGGTTTACCATTCAAGGCCAGGAAGGGACACTCTGGTGGCACGCCCATAGCTCATGGCTCAGAGCAACAGTTTATGGAGCTCTGATTATTCACCCAAAACAAGGTTCTTCCTACCCGTTTCCCAAGCCCAAGCGCGAAACACCCCTTCTCTTAGGTACTGATCCTATATCTCACTAGATGACTCAGTAAAACTCAGAAATGTATAGATATAATGACAAATTCATGAATTGTGGTTTGACAATGATCAGGTGAATGGTGGGATGCGAATCCCATTGATGTGGTGAGGCAGGCTACAAGAACCGGGGCAGCTCCAAATGTGTCCGATGCGTATACCATCAATGGTCAACCTGGGGATTTTTACAACTGTTCCAGTCAAGGTTTGCTTCTATAGACTCAAATTAGTTCCTTTCTATTCTTCACCGGCTCTTTAGATAAAACCACTGTCTACAAATGGCTTAAGATATCATATCGATATCATCGAATCAACTTAGTGAGGTTGGCGCACACAATTTTTATAAATATTGTCAAAGATATTTACGAGATAGCCAAAGGATGTAGTTTAAAACTAATATTTTCCAATGCATATATAGAGGACATTTGGTTAGATAGGATAAAATTATAAAAAGGACCTCCAAGAAGGCCCCCCTCGACAAAGGTTTGACAAAGCCAACACCTAAAATAATTAGCCAATGTCATGGTTTGCTCAAAAAAAAAAAAAAAAAAAAAATCGTGATTTCAAGAAAAATGACTCAATGATATCATGACCATGCAGACACAGTGATAGTTCCGGTGGACTCCGGTGAAACCAACCTCCTTCGAGTCATCAATGCTGGGCTAAATCAAGAGCTATTCTTCACCGTAGCCAATCACAGACTCACAGTTGTTGGAGCCGATGCTTCCTATCTTAAACCATTCACCACCTCAGTCATTATGTTGGGACCCGGTCAAACCACCGATGTCCTAATCACCGGTGATCAGCCACCTGCTCGATACTACATTGCAGCATGTGCCTATGCTAGTGCCCAAGGCGCACCATTCGACCAGACAACCACCACAGCAATCCTCGAGTACAAGACCGCACCTTGTCCTGCCAATGGTACTACTTCAGCCAAACCTGTTAACGCATCTTTACCTGCATTTAATGACACCAACACTGCGACGGCCTTCGCTACCAGCCTTAGAAGTCCCCAAAAAGTCCCCGTGCCCACTGAAATCGATGAAAGCCTCTTCATCACAGTCGGTCTAGGACTTAACAACTGCCCATCAGGTGCCAGCCCAAGCACCTGTCAAGGTCCAAATGGGACCCGCTTCACTGCCAGCATGAACAATGTATCTTTTGTGCTCCCATCCAACTTCTCTTTACTCCAATCGCATCAGCAAGGAATACCCGGAGTTTTCACCACCGATTTTCCAGCGGCTCCACCGGTGAAATTTGATTACACCGGTAATGTGAGCCGGTCACTCTGGCAACCCGTTCCGGGGACCAAGGTGTACAAATTGAAATACGGTGCAACAGTGCAGTTAGTTTTACAGGGAACAAGTATCTTCACAGCTGAGAACCACCCAATTCATCTTCACGGATATGATTTCTACATCATCGCACAGGGCTTTGGAAACTTCAATCCCAGCCGTGATACATCTAAATTTAACCTTGTTGATCCCCCATTGAGGAATACAGCTAGTGTACCTGTTGGCGGATGGTCAGTCATTAGATTTGTCGCTGATAACCCAGGTAAGAAAACATGAAAAGTCTAGAAAGATTTTACTTCTCAGTTCTCATACATGTCTATTGTTCCTCATTTGATATTTTACTTGCTTTGTTTGGCAAAAACAGGAGTTTGGCTGCTGCATTGTCACTTGGATGTTCACATCACCTGGGGTTTGGCTATGGTTTTCCTCGTAGAGAATGGAGTTGGGGAATTGGAAGCATTAGAGCCTCCTCCAGCAGATATGCCTGTATGTTAGTATCATCAGTAGAAACACTGGGCAAAATTAGATTCAATACGCCCTATGAAGTGGGTCACAAGTTTTCTGCTGCAAGTATACCAAATTCAATTTTCTTCCCCACATTGGGGACTAGTTACTTGTTCTTTTCTATTGTTATTTTATGTTGTTCTTTTCCATTGTATTGTTCTTTTTGATACATAAACTGGGTCAAAAAGAGATGATGGTGCCATGGTACAATACTAAGAACCATCTGTCTTGAAATCAGACCCAACATGTTTTCTGGTTATAGCTGTACTGATCTAGAGCAAATGAAAGTGTTTTTTTTTAATTTTTTTTTGAATAAATTTAATAGTTTTCTGAGTCTTGTATCAGCGATTCAGCATATTGTACAAGGTCAAAAAAACAAGACAACAGAAATGGAAAAAAAAAAAAAAAACGCACACACACACACACACTCTTAAAGAGAAGACAGAAGAACAACAACATTATAACCACACATAACAAGACATTCAAGGAATTATTTGGTTGCTCAGATGCCTAATTAATTTCTTAGACGGTTGTTGAATAATCCCCCATTGTACAACACTTACGTACCATCTTCGAATCAGACCCCAACATGCATCAGCGATTCAGCATATTGTGAAATGTGGAATGTGAAGGCCGGGAAATGGAATTCAGGCAATCAATGGCACAGACTTCATACGATTTCTGAACAACATGACAACAGAAACAATGTAATTCCTATAGCAAGTCAGGACCAGAATATCCAGAAGGAGATACGAAGAAACTAATGGGAAAATAAAAATCATAACTAGCCAAAGCATCTCAAGAATTTGAGATGGATGCAGAATTAAAATTATCGGAGTAAAACTCATCAAATACAGTTTCCCAGCCAAACAAGATTATCATACATATTAGAGCACAGAGGCAGGGCAGCCACTACATACATATATCTTTAGATTCTCAATTCACCAAAGAAAGCAGGGGCTTTCTCAGCTCTGATAGGCACCCAATATCACCATTGACAGAGTGAAAACAGGACTTAAGAATAATCCAGCCCCAAACATTTTGGAAGTAGAGAGTAAAGCATAGAAACAATGGGGTGTAACTTGCAGCAGATCAACGAATGGATTAGAAAGTGAGAATTTAATTTTTACGTTTTTAAAAAGGGCAACCTAGCGAACTAGGCACCGGCTAAAACAGAGTCTATGAAGGACAAGATGTGCACAGGTAAAGCAGCCTTGCACTAATAGTAAGCCTTACCATTGAGCTCAGTTGCCCTTTACCCAAAAAAATAATAATAATAATTGTTAAAAAAAATAATAATGATAATAATAATTTTTACTTAAAAAAAGCTATTTAAGAACAACATAAAAATATGCTTTAACATCAGAATAATTCAGTCTTGTTTAAAACTTTGCATGTAGTTCCCCAAACACTTAATTTGGGAAGTGTGATAATATGAGAGTTAACCAACTGAAGGAAATAAGTTCCACATGCTTGATAAAAGCACAGGAGAAATTGTTGATCACAATCTAAATTTTGGAGTTCATATCCCATATCACTTTGCATGTAGTTGGAGGAAATACAGTCCAGAAATGGTATCAAGAAATAAGGAGGCATTCACTACTGCCCCCAAACAAAAGAGGCCACGGAGGCAAGGAAGGATTCCATATTCACTAGCTTTAAGTGGATAAATGTAGAAATAATTAAACCAGATAACAAATATTTGATTTAATTTATTTTCTCACCATCACAAAATGCAGTAGTTACTTGGGAGGTAAATGTGGGTACAACCACATGAACTAGGATAAGCAAAACATTTGAAACACTTAAAGGATGACAGTGGAACAAGGATTATGGTTTGAAATTAATCTGAGACACTCTGGACAAGTTTTCTAAATTCCAATCTTCAAAACTGTATAACAGGGAAAATAATTAAGTGGACTAAACAACAGCAGAAAAAAGATTAAAAAATATTTACGTCAGGGAAACTTCATTGAGTGGATATAAGAAATATTCCAAGTTAAACAAAGTAGGGCACCAGACTGACCAACAATGTCAAGATTTAACAATCTACCACCAAGTAAGCAGACAAAATATCACTATACACATTTGAGAATTAAAATTTAGTGTAGGTTCTTCGAGATGTATGTACTCAATTTCTTCATTTTGGTTGAATTGAACTTACAGGAAAGTTGCAAGCAAGATAATTGATCTATAAGGAAAGATGAGCAGTATCCACTTCCCATTTTATATGCAAATGCAATTGAACCCACTCAAGATAGCAACTTGGAAATTGAAAAGGAACAACTGAAGAAAAAAATGTGATGATCTTTTAGGTTGCTGAATTAGAGAATGCATGTGTTAAAATTCCACTAGAATTAGTCATTACTTTCAGAGGAAATGCAAAGCTCATTTCTAGTACCAGATATGTCTTTCATGCTTCTCCTTAGTTCTTTTTTCACTCCCTCCTCCCTTCACCCTTTGTGGGAAACCTTTTTGTGAAGGCATATATTTTGCATATGCCTCCAATTTATTTACATAAGCTGAGCTGACGGCTGACGGCTGATCTGCCTAGGAGATTTATTGATGTGACACCACATACAGATGTGGATTATAAGTTAAGTCATTACATTGTTCATAAGAGACATGGATATGGACAACAAATACAAGTAATATAACCAAATATGACAATTTTCAAAAAAAAAAAAAAAAAAATCAACAAATGACATGGCAAGGATACGATGACAATTAAATATATATTTTTGGATGTGTACATGAAAAAAATAATGATTTCTTCATTTTTTTTTTAGGCTAAAAATACAAATAGATGAAAATAATAACGATTTCATTAGTTTTTACATTACAAATACATTTATTTTTTATTATGTAAACCTATTTTAGAAAGTTCTACTTTGGAATTCCCCAACGTTCAAAAATCGAAACGATGAGAGATTACTAAGTATAAATACACCCATTGTTTTTATATAAATAAATGTGTCCCTCAAGTGACCAAAGCATGTCCACAGCTAAAAAATTTAAAAATAATATGACATATTTGAATGCATTCCGACACACGTGTTGGGAAATGTCTGACAAATGTTGGTGTCCAACACAGACACAACACCTTCTTAAAAGTGTCCACACTTCTTAACTTTGATTAGTTGAAAGCACACAGAAAAATGAAGAAATTATGTCATATGTTATGGTATGCTCTCATCAATTTACTGCTTTTCTCATCATTCAGAAATTTATAAAGCACTAACTCACAATTAATCTCATTGTACTGTTCAGAGAATTTTTATATGTTGCATGCAATATAATGAGAAATACACTTATAGATGGCCACGTTCTGCCATTTTTGGTTGCATTCATATCTGTCTCATCAAGAATGTGCCTCTAATAAAAATCTTCAGTAGGAGAAAAAAAAATGGTCGCCTCAATATTTAAAAGCACAAAACCATCTTTTAGAATGGCATCATTTCAAAAAGAAGAAGTCATTTAAAAAATGAAATTGCATGAGGCCCAAAATTTCATACAATTCTCATTAGCCCCATGCAATTTTACATATTTATAACATAAATTAACATTTTGGCCCATTCAAAATTTATACAAAATTTTACTTCAACCCTCTCAAACTTCACAAGAACCTCATTAACCCCATGCAATTTTGAGTATTTACATAAATAAATAATAAAAATAGCATTTTGGCCCCAAAAATTTATAAAATTTTGCTTTGATGCTTTCAAAGCTTTAAATAATTTTGTCTTGGGCCCTCCATTTGCACAATTTCTGGGTCCTCCAGCAATAAATAGTGTGAACCTTTAAAAGATTATTTCTAGAAACCTTAATAACTAATCCTACATATTACCATCAGGTGTCCAAACACTTTAAACATTGTCACCATGATATGATATTACTAAAGGTTGTGCATGTCCATTCAACACATAAAGTGCAGCCTCAAACACAAATTGGCCTTGGTTTAACTCTATAGTCCATTTTTAGAAAAAAATATATATATATATATATAGGGGATCTTTTGATGTATTACGTTATAGTGTTAGAGGAGTCTTTTAGTGCTATGTTGGAGGAGTAGTGTTACGTTTTTTAAAAGTACACTGAGTTTTTTAGTGTGTGAAAAAAATAAAGTTACGTCCTTGCTCTATATCAAATCACATTGATAAAGCCTTAGGCTTAAACATGAAGTTGAACGTAAAAGTCTTCTGTAATTAAGATGATGCTAATGGTAATACATATGTTATTATTATATAATATCTTGCCGGATAAAAAAGAATATATATTTATATTAGTAGAACCTTGCAACTTTTAAAGCTTGTAAAGTCTCAATCAGATAGTGATAGCTAAACAGATAAATGTAACCTTTCAAAGTAATGGCTAAAGATTTTTAAGACAACAACTAGATTGGGTAAACTTTTCAAATTAAACTCAAGGCCCAAAACAGATTAAAATGTCCTAGTTGTTGGTATGTTAGCTCCTATTGCCAGTAAAAGCTCAGATTAAACTCACTTACAAATATACACATCAATTCTATATGTGAAGGCTATAGAGTACATGTTCACTTCTCATTTTTTAATTTTTTCCAAAATATCCTATAGTAGTCAAGCGGGCAGTTATGCCTTAAATTCAGGTTTTTTTTTTTTTTTTTTTTTCAAATCTCTCAACTTCTCATTTTTCCAAATTGATTTTAATTTTCAGATTTTAAATTCAATCATACAGTTTATAATTTTTATCTTTGTGAAATAAAATGATCATATGTATAACAAAATATGAAGAACAGTGAATAGGCAGGTTCATGAATCTCAGAAAATTACAGGTTTAAGCATTAGATTAATAGCATTGAAACCTGAGTTTTTCCAGAAAATATAACTATATCCATAATGCAAAAACTTAAAAAACCGTAAATCTCTGTGACTGATATAATTTACTCTAAAGCTTAATAAAAATGTAAACAACATTCTGAACAGACCTTAGAATGAAGAATCGCAACGGATGGGAATAATGATTTTCGATACATGTCTTCAATGGAATTGGAAAACGAGATATTGGATTGGGAACTAGGGTTCTGATAATCGAATTCAGAGTTCCTTAGGATGAATGGAACTGTAGAGTTCCACTGTGATTGTCTGCAACTCGCGTGGGTTTGGGTCAGGGCCCGCTTATTAGCTAAGATACTAAAGAATGGGTTTTAGGGCCCATTTTTTAGGAAGGCCCCAAATTTAAACAGGGTAGTAAATCCCTTAAATTGTATTTTGCCTAACTATAAACTTAACAGTTAACCTTCTACAACTTTTATTTTGTTACACTTTGGCCCTTTTCATTAAGATTCTATTTGTGTTTGGCAACGTTTACGTTTTCAGCTTATATTTACAAAAATTTAATAAATTGATTTTTTTTTATTTTTTGTTTATTTTTAGAAAAACATAAACTAAAAAGTGTTTGGTAATTGACAAAATGTTTAAAAAAAATTTAAAATATAAAAAAGAGTGAGAAATGACAAGTGGTGGCAAGTGGCGGCAGAAGACGGTGGTGGAAAGTGGTGATGGTGGGTGGTGTGTAGCTGGTGATGGTGGGTGGTGTGTAGCCTTTGGCCCTTTTCATTAAGATTCTACTAGTATATCACTCGTGCTATGTACGGATTATTTTTATAATTATTTATATATGTGAATTGTGATTTTTTAATATTTTTTTTTAAATATCTTCTTTTTTTCTTTTTTTATATTATATTAAAGTTTAATATTTTGATAATAATCATATGTGTTGGATTTTTCATGAAATTTTTTTTATGTTTATTCTTAATGTATTAAAGCGTTATTATGAGTGATAATAATCATATGTGTTGGGAATTTTCAAGGAATTAATGTGTTAGATTTCAAAAAAAAAAATTATGCTTGTTCTTAATGCATTAAAGTGTTATTATGAGGGTAAGACTTGAGAGTTGAGAGAAGTTAATAAATGTTAAGAATTTTTCTTTTAAAAAATCAAAAAATTAAGAAATTTAGATTGGAAGATTGGAGCTCCCACAAGACTTGGGGTTAAAAACCCCCTTTTGCTTAATATATAGTATAGATTACAATGTGTTTGGTTGGGAGATTTGAGAAAAAATTTAGAAAAAAAAAAGTAGATGAAATGTAAATAAAATATACTTACATTTTATTGAGTTTCACATACATTTTCCCTTCTCTTTCAAAATCTCTTCCTAAATTTCTCAACCAAACACAATATTAAATATTTAAACAGAATCAAAGCATGTACGAAACACATAATACATTTATTATTTTTTTAAAAATAATAATACTCGTTATTGATTTTTTTTTATTTAAATAATAACACCCTTTCCTGGTGATCTCGTTTGCATTTTGCCTCTATTATCTTAGTGGCAAAGTAAAAGGGATCAGTAGATAAAAACATTTTTGCCTTTAAAATTTAATAAATGTGTCATGATTTATATATGAAATGATTTTGTATAAATTCCTTTCAGAATCATAACAAAAATGATTAATTGTAACTAGATAATATTTCGGGTGTGTTTGTTTTGAAATATTAGGGGGTGAGATTGGACTATTAATCACATCGGACTAATAGTTCATTGTTTGTTTCATTTTTTTTGCTCCGGACTATTAGTCCGACAAATATGGGACTATCCTATCCCATGGAGGAGGTGGGATAGAAACCGTGGGATTGGTATCCCATGAGATTATTTTGTAAAATGTCCATTTTACCCTCCATGCTATTACTTAGCAAACAATTAGAAAATGATAAAATAGACTTTTAAATATTTATAAATTAATTTTTTAGCGTTGTTAATTTAAAATTATATATTAAATAAAAAATTTAAATTATAAATTAAATTTAATTAAAAATAATAAATTATAAATTATGGCCTTATAAATTAAGTTTTTTTAGTGTTGTTAAAAAATTAAATTTACATATTAAATTAAATTATTTTTTTACATTTATAAATTATTTTTTTAGTGTTGCCAATTTAAAATTATATATTAAATAAAAAATAAAAATTATAAATTTAATTTAATTGAAAATAATAAATTAAAATAATTAAAATATTGTGCAAAAAATAAAATAAAATAAATTTTTCTTTAATGTAGCTAAAAATAATTAAAATATTAAAACTATGTTTAATATTACTATTACTTAGTAAATAATTGAAAATGATAAAATAGTCATTTGAGCATTTATCCTTCACCATAATATCCCAAACAAACATTGGATAACTAAAAATAGTCCAATCCAGACATCTAATCCCATGACTAAACAAATATTTAATACAAATTTAGTCCAACCAAATAGTTCCGGGACAAGGTATCACAGGACTAATAGTCCGATAGATTACAATCCCCCTTATCTAGTCCGTCCAAACAAATGCACCCTAAAGAGATGTTTGTTTGGAAGAATTGGAGAGGATTGGACTCTATGTGCAATCCACTATGGAGCAATTTTTACTCGCATCAGGTGATAGTTCTAACTTGAAATCTACTAATTTGTAATTAATTTATTTTATTTCTATTAAAAAAGTAACTTGTGTAAACAAAAATCTAAAAGACAGTTCTAAGCATCTCCAATGGTAGTAGACATTTTACCTATCTAAATATTACTATAAAGTATACATTTTATTTTGCCTGTCAACGATTTCATGTTTCTACCCCAACCATGCTCTTTATTTTAGCTATTCATCCAAATACTATTAACTTTATAGAATGCCACGTCAGCAACAAAGATGGAGGGAAATAATCTTAATGATTAAATACATTTTGCCTAGCCTTGAAGGCTAGCTACATGTAGCTAGTGAATGTGAGCTGAGCCAAAATGCCTAAGCATATGCCTAGTGCATTGGAGTTCAAAAAAGTGAGTCACATTAGGCATTTTGACTAACAAGCATCATATGCCTAGTGGGTTGGAGATGCTCTAAGACATCCATATCACGCTAGCTATTATGGTCTTATGACAAAATTTACTTTAGCAATGTGTAAAATCACTCCTCCATCATCATCGTTACACCAAAATTAAATTTGGCATTACTACAGTAAATTGTTACATGTAGCGATGTACTGTTCATATGTTATACAATATTTTATCATTTATTCTTAAGAATGACCATACATCCTGCTAGATAACCGACTGCTGCACCATTTTTTTTTTTTTTTGAATATGAAATACAATATTTAACCATTTATTACCAAACATCTTGCCGAATGACCAGTTGTGCATTATTATTATTATTATTATTATTTTATTTTATTTTAGGAATATGGCAACTTTTCCTAGAATCTTCTAGAAGATGCTTTGGGTAGAGTTGTTTGCATAATCTAGCAAATCATAAAAATAAATATTTTATAAATCTAAATTTTAGAATAGAGAGACTGATAGAAGTTTACATATAACAAATGTTAGATAAAATATAAAAAAAAAAAAAAGTAACTCTTTAATTATAATTTAACTCAAAATTTGTTGACGCTGATGTGAATGCTCTAAAAGCGACTTTTCTTTTAGCTTAGTTTGAATCTTTTAAGTTGGAAGTGAAATTAAACATCATCTTTGAAAGGGGGATTTAATAGGACTTTTCACTAACTTTTATTTAAAAAAAAATAAATTTGGCATGTGCATTCATATTTTAAATTAAAAGATTGTAAATAAAAGATTTGTTAACAGGTGTTTTAAGAATAGTTCATTAAAATAATTTTACATATTTTATGTGAATGCATATTATAAAAAAAATGTACAATCAATTTAAATTTTATTAACCACCACCCAAGGGAATCGCATTTAACAAGACTTACAAATAAAGTGACTTGCATAAGTTGCAAACAAAAAAAGGGGAAAAATATAAAAATATTTTTCATTAATTTAAAAAAAAAATATTACTCCTACTTTGAAGTAAACAAGACATGTTTAAAAATATTAGACAAGGTTTCCAAGGCACTTGTTAGCATTTATTAAGTCTTGATAACAAATGCTCCTGCAACATAAGAAAAATAAATAAATAAATAAAAGATACTTTTCACATTGTTCATTAATTATATATTTTTATTTTTTAAATATAAAATTTTAATACTAAACGAGCAATGCTAGGAATGTAAAAAGAAAAAATTCAAATATTTTATACAATACTTATGGCGATGGTGATTGTGGGCTGGGAACTCTTGGTGACTTCGTCTCCCTCTCCCTCTCCCTCTCTCTCACTTCATTTCTCCCTCTACCTCTCTCTTTGTTTCTCCCTTTCCTTCTCTTCACGCTTCTACTTCTTTTTTCCTTCTTATTTAAAAAAATTAAATCAAAACAACGTCCCTTTGAAAGACTACAAACTGTAGAGAATTCGAACACAACACTCACACCTATGTGAGTATTGTGCAAAATATTTGATAATTTATTTAGAGTGTCTACATTTTTTGATCTCTTAAGGATATAGCATTTAGAGTAGAGGATTTACACATTAGTGGAATATTTTCAAAATAATTACAATTTTATGAAAAAGTTTAATATTTTAATGAATAAAATTTATAAACTTTATCACTGTTCTGATTTTTTATCGTCAAACTTCTTTTGAATTATTATTTCCCCTATGAAGTAAGTAGTGCATTTGCCAGTACACATAGAGCATCAAGTGCAAATTTGTTCAACTAGATGAACATTACATACTCCCTCATTAATAAGTGAGTGAGATGATCCCACATTTAACTTTAAAAAGAATCAATTAATGAAAAGTTTAATAAGAGTGTGTAAATAAATTTGCACCGGCAGAGCACCAGTGAACATTCAATTTCATTACATTACAATTATACATAACTTAAATGGTAAAATAAAATACAATACATGAGTCATAACTTTACAAATCAGCATAAGCACACAAGTTTGTTTTTTAATTTAACTTCTCTTCATGTCCAAACTCTTCATCACCTATATATATATAAGGGAGAGGGGTGAGGTATTACCCAGTGAATAGTAGTAAAGTAAGGCGGTAAATGAATGAACATACACAAGCTTTAGAAATATAACATCCCTCAACTTTTTAAAAATTATACATATATTTTTAATAAAAAATATATTTCAGTATAATCCTTTTATGTAATTTCTTAAAATTTTATATCACTATTTTCTTTACCTTTTTTCTTTACAAAAAAAGATCTATTGAATTTGTCACTCTAAATATTTAATTATGCTAAAAAATATTCTTATAAATTTTATATTAGAAAAATGTTATATGTCACTGATTTTCTGTTATATTACATCTTATATAAATACTTGTAATTTGTTCATTTAGAATAATATTATATACACGAATTTATGTACTAATTAGTGTATTAATAGATGATGTGACATAATTTTAGAGGTTTTGAGTATTTGTAATTTGTATAATAAGTGGGGTCAGTAATAATGTCATAATATTAACTGGTATACTAGCTAGTACACTAATTGGTGCATATAGCACCACCGGTTCATTTATTTACATATAGTTATTACACAATTAATGATAATTAATAATATATTACCATTTAATTCTATGATTCAAAATGGAGAAAAAAATAAGTGATATATAACATGTCATGTGTATTATTCACCTTTCTCTATTTTCTTTCTCCATCCCTCTCTATATTTCTTTTTGTGTGTATATCTTAATATAATTTTGCTCTCATTAGTAAAGGCATACGATTATTTTTTAAACCGTGATGATCACCATATATAAAATCAAATTAATAATAATACAGATAATGATCGATTAAGTTGAACTTATATTTAAATATACCTTTGCAATCGTACTAACTTTTAGTCTTTCATAAGATAAAAATTAAGTTAGATTGTGACTTTTTTAATTCAATAGTGCCTCTTCTAAGTCAAAATTTTGGCTCCGTCACTGAACCGAGGGTTGGACTTTAATGACACAAACGATACTACAAACTCACACTAAGACCATCTCCAACGCTTCATCAAACTTGACATCAGATTTGAATTTTGATGAAAATGTCACTTTTTGGTGCTCTAATGGTTTCAACAAATTGGTATCAAATTGAGAAAAGATCAAACCTTTCACCAAACTGAGGACGGCTCGCTCCTTTCACCAAATCACTGTGCATAGTCGTTACAACAGAAAATTGTGAAAATTTTACACATGGTGGTTGACCACCTGGTCGACCACCCGGTTGACCAATCGATCGACTAGCTCATGCAAATGGTTCAAAAATTGACCTGCGAACTGGTTCAAATGGTTCAAATTACTGGTTCAAACGGTTTTAAAAAAAAATTGAACCAACGGTTAGGTAGGTTCAAAAAAAAAAAAAATTGCCTTACCGGTCGACCAACCGGTTGACCCACGGGATGATTTTTTTTTTGATGCACCGTTGGAGCAACTAATATCGGATTGAGAAAATGAGCCATTTTTTACTCAAATTTGGTGAAAAAAAATACTAAACCGTTGGAGATGCTCTAATGAATTCAGAATTTACTCAAAAAAAATGAATTAATTGTTGAAATTCATTTTATTTATAAATCTCATATTTCATCAATTCAATTTTTATCACACAATCAAATTTAAAATAAATTATGAGTTAATAAGAATTAATTCACAACATTAAACAATGTCACACGCTGACAAGCACTTGTGTTCTACCTTTCAACTCACAAGTAGCTCACGTGCTCATGGGAAGACAATTAAGGTTTATTTTGGCAATTCACAAGTTCAATTAAAAAATCAACAAATTATTTTTAAAAATATTTTTTATTTTTTTATTTTTTACACATATTTTTATTTTTACACATATTTTTGTAAAATATTAAAAAATTAACCTTAAACTTCTTTTAAGTTATGTTTGTTTAAAAATTTAAGAGCATATTTGGTACGATAAAATGAAATGAAATGTAAATGAAATAAGACTAAGAATGAAATATAAGGTTGAATGGAATGGAATGCCCATTCTTATTCCATTGTTTGGTTGCCAACATGGAATGACATAGGAATAGGATGATAATTCTCATTTTCATGTTTGGTTATACCTATTAAACTCATGGAATAAAATAAATTTTATTATTTATTTATTTTTAACAAGTTAGTAACAAATAAATTAAAATTTTATATAGATCATGATAATATTAATAGTCATGAAAGTGATGGTGTAAGTCGTTGTGGTGGTGGTGGTGGCGGTGGCGGCAGTAACAGTGGTGGCATCGGTGGTGGTGATAGCAATGATAGTAGGATGGTGGTAGCAGATTGTTGTGGCCTTAGTGGTGGTGGTGTAACGACCCTAATTTTTTGTAAGTTATTATTTATTTTTTATTATTATTACTTTGTTTTATTTGTAGCTTTATTAATTGCATGGATACATGAAAATTTAATATGGTATTTAATTAACTTAATGTGTTATTTATTATGTATAATTAATCCGTATATTTATATATTTATATTTTTTATCACTCCCCAAAATTTAAATAGTTAAATATTAAATTAGGACTAAATTCTAATCAATATTCCATCATCCAAATTCTAGGGGTGAAACAAAATCAAAATATTCTCGTCTCTGTACGGGGAGCAAATATTCCGGCGTGCCCGTATTCCTTTCTTCCGAGCTCCGTCGATATCCGATCACCTGCGAGCAAATAACGGTGAGCTACCCGGCGGTGTGTGGCCGGAAAGACCCTCCGACGGTCAAATTAGCACACACCTTGGAGGGAATAGAGAGAAGGGAGAGAGTGTTTGAGTGTAAGGATTTTCTTACAGAGATGTTCGTGTGTTGCGTATGGGGGGCGCAGACATGCTTATATACCTTCTGAGCCCCATATCCACTCCCTGTCATCTCCTGACATGTGGCTCTGCTATCCCATCTGTCAGCATAAACCATGCCATTCATCACCTGCTCTCAACTGCCTGCCAAATAACTCACATTGCCAAATTATCAAAATACGAAGTTCATAAAAAAAAATAATAAATACATAAACTAATATCAATCCTAAACTCAAGAAAACAAAAAAAAAAAAATTCAAGAGACATGTCCAACAACTATAGTTATTTCTCGTTACCACCGTAATCCCAACTAATGCTGCAAAGGAAACTCGGTTGCGCTCAAACAAAACGCACTCGAGATGCCAGGAGACAAAACGGGTTAGTAAACAAAGTATACTGATTTGAGTACAAGATTTGACACCCACATGTCCATTAGACACAAACAAAAGTATATTTAATTCACTACAACAAAATGCATCTTTGGCGACCAAAATTGACAGCTAAAAAAAATTTAGTCGCCAAAAATTGTGGAATTAGCGACCAATAATTTTTTTTAGTTGGCGTATATTGATTATTGGCGACTAAAAAAAATTTAGTTGCTAAAAATGCTAAAATTGGCAACAAAAAAAAATTTCATCGCCGTATATTGAGTTTTGGATACTAAAACCATTTAGTCACCGAATGGAAAATAAAAAATTATTTTTTATCTTTGGCGACCAAACTTTTGGTCGCCAAAAACTTATTTTCTGTAACAAAAAAATTTTAGTTGCCGTATATTAAGTTTTGGTTACTAAAACTATTTAGTCGCTAAATGAAAAATAAAAAATTATTATTTATCTTTGGTGACCAAAAACTTACTTTTTAGCTACCAAAAACTATTTTAGTTGCCAAAAAAACTAAAATATTTGGAGGCAGAGATTTCAAATTTTGGAAGAATTTATAAAATTAATTGGCGACTAAAAATATTTAGTCACTAATAGTGTAATACATATATATATATATATACATATTTGATTTTCAAACCGCAAACCAGCGCCTCTCTCTCTCTCTCTCTCTCTCTCTCTCCCTCTGCCTTTGCCTCTCCGTTGCTCTTCTCCCCTCCCTCTCTCGCCGCCGCTCCACCAGCCGTGCCTCCGCCGCTCCTCCTCGCGGTCGCCGGCAACTAGAGCACCGATTCACCTAGATTTGCCCTATTTTCTTTGCCCTAATTAAGGGATTTTTTTTTAACCCACCAACACCGTCCAACGCCCTACAATGGAGTTGGGGAATGAGGACGAACCCACCCCCTCCTCTTCTGCTGCTGCTACGCCACTGCTTTCACTTCCACTTGCGCCTCACCGCTTTATGTAGAAATTCATGCTCTACGAGACTCAATCGGTACCCAAATCTTCCTCTCCCTCTTCTTATTTTGTTGTTTCCGTCTCTTGACTTGCCTAGTTGCTACTGCTTTGATCCAAAATGGCATCTTTTGGAAATATTTTTTGGATTTGGTGCTATAAATGTCCCCATTTTTTACTTGGTATTATTTTTTTTAAGCTTAAAATGACTCGATTTTTTTTTTAAAGCTTAAATGTCCCCCTGTATTGATCCATCGTTCTTAGTTTTTCTTTGATTGATTTGGCATTTGGATGTGCACTGGAACTGAACCAATTGTAGGTATTCTACTTTTATATAAAATTAATGTCAGGTATGTGATTGATTGAATTGGGTTTATCATAGAGTAAAATTGCTCATGCTGACATTTTTTTTTTTAAGTAATAGCTATATCCCTCCATAATTGTGATGTTGTTAGTGGTTATGATGGTGATCAAATTGATTAGAGAAGCTGAATATTATCAGTTGATGGGGGACTCAACATGAAAGTGAAAGTTCGACAATAAAATGATTGCAACAGTCATGTTAATAGCTTTTCTGCAATCATTTTTGTCATGACTCATGAGAAAATGTCATTCCTTTTCCTGATAGGGAGATGTAGATGGCTCAAGAAAACATAAAATTTTAAAGATTATTATGTTCTTTAGTAAACTTAAGGGTTATTTCCTCTTTTGGTCTAGGACTATTGAGGCAACCCAAATGGGGTCATTTGAAAGATCTGCATAGAGCGATAAAGTTGTGTGAGCCGGCTTTAGTATCAGAAGATCCCACTGTGATCCCTCTTGGGAACTATCAGGAGGTTAGAGTTACAATCATTCTCTGAGAACCATTTATCTTATCTCATACTTGTGTTGAAAATAAATGTCATTTCTTCCTATAATCGTTCCATGTAGGCTCATGTTTTCACGTCAAAGTCTGGAGATTGTGTTGCGATCCTTGCAAACTACAATTCTAATTCCTTTGCAAAGTTGGCTTTTGGGAATATGCTCTTGGCTTGAGGAGTGACCTTATGCATATACATAACTACATTATGGTTTTTGTTTCTGTATCGTCATATTTTACTTGATTTTATGATTTTATCCATGTGCTATTGATGTAACAGAGGGCCTTTCTTTTCTTTCTTTCATTCTTCTTCTTCTTCTTCTTCTTCTTCTTCTTCTTCTTCTTCTTCTTCTTCTTCTTTGTGTGTGTGTGTGTGTGTGGCTGTCATATTGTGATATTTTAGGCTACTCCTAGAACAACCAAACAATGTAATCCTCAGATCTCTCTTGAACTGTAGCTTTCCAGTTTTTTCCTTTCTTCGTTGATACTAACATATAGAGTTGGTGTTACCTTCTTCTTGTAGCCGTGTCAATAATTTTATTTCCCATAAATCAACTACTTTAGTTTGAGAATATTGAAGACCTTTAAATCATACAGTGTATATTAGAAATTTTGCACTTCATAAACAATTTAAATTTTAGCAGGAAAAGAAGATGTGGTTTGAGAAGAAACTGTGAATAGGCAGTTATAGAAGAGACAATAATATAAGTGTGGAAGACTCTATAAAGGGAAAGGAAGGCGTGATTTGAGAAGAAACCGTGAACAGGTAGTTATAGAGAAGTGTAGATAACTACACAGAATTTTAGATGATGACAATTATTTTTATCTTCAATGAATGTGTGCATATATAGGAAATTTGAATCTTTTCCTATTAGTTGGTTGGCACACACCTCATGTGTGCTTCCACTTCTAGTAATTAGTAGTAGTTTGTTGGGGGTAAGGGATATAAAGCCTTGTGCATTCATGATCCACCTTTGGTAGAGATCAGTGGAGAAAAGTAACTTCATTTACTACTCATTTTATTATTATTGTTATTATTTTAAGATTATATTTACTAGTTAAAACAGCAAGAGTTGTTGGGAGCAATGGGGGTTTAGTGGAGAAAATATCTCACTTGTCTTTTGTTTATGACACAATCATTTTTTGTGGACCGAACACAGAGGAGTTGAGGCATTTGTGTTATGCGAAGGTTTGATTTGAGGAAGCTGTATAGGTTTAAAGATGTTTGTGGCCCAAAGTGAATTGATTCTAGTAGAAGAGGTTTGAAATGTATAGAGGTTGGTGCATTCAATTTTTTTGGATCTGTCAAGGGGCTATATGCTTAGTTAAATCCTCCCCAAGAGTCTATTTGATTAGAAATAAATAAATGTAGGAAAATGAAAGTGAAAGTGAAGTGAAAGAAAATATTTATATATTACAAAAAAAAAGAGATAGTGAAGTGAATTGAAAGGAAAGAAATACAAAATAACAATATACGTTTCTCACACACACACACACACACACAAAATTCAAGGAAATACAAAAAATTTTGTCAGATTTTCCCACATTGTGTTTGAATAGAAAATGTGATTGACGCAAGCTTGATAAAAGAATTTCTGATCTTGAAGCAACAACAATAATTGAAAGAGGTCTGGGAGATGATCAGCAGCACTCTTTAGGGTAAGATTAACTTAGATCCTTGAGTATTTGACAAGATTTTATCCTAAAACCCTTTAACTCTATCACCCAATATGGGGTGCAGTGCATTGCAATATTCATCTAATTGGTTAGTTTCTTAAGCGTAAAATACAATCTTTAATTAAGATTTGACAAATACTTGATGGCAGTTACTTCTTATACTATATGGTATGGTTGTTTTCTACTAAATCACACATTGCAAAAGCCTTGGTACTGTTTAAGCTTTAAACTCTTGAGTTTTGGAAATGTTTTTATTGAAATTGTGGTTTATTTGATTCATTTAATAGCTGGTCAACACTGAAGACGTTTTCTTCTTGGCTTTTCTATGTATATGGTAATAGTTACTATTAAACTTTTTGAAAATAGATATTGTTAGACTCTTATATTCAGTATCTTATTTGTTCTCTGTAGCTAATTGTGAAGGAAATAAATTATGTTGTGCAACCTGGTCAAGGCTCAATTGAGAAGTCTCACAAGTTGAAGAAGATGAATGACTAGATTGATCCCCGATGCAGTGACCTACATGTAAGAATTTAACAATAGAATGAGATGGAGCCCTCTTCTACCATATCCGAAGCTGCATCAAGAGCACATGATAAGGAGATGGAGACCTTGATTTGTTTTGTTAATTAAGATTTTATTTAATTTGGATTTTAATTGTTGGTTTGAATAGTATATGTATTTGTTGGATTATACTATGTTTATGGATTCTTATTTTCTTTGATATGTACGGTTAATAGTTAAGTTTTGTATATGGTTGGAAATTGAATGCTATAGGTTGTGGAGAAATATTTTTATTGAATAGTTGAGAATTGAATGAATGAATGGATGAATAATTTTGTATTTGCATAGATTATAGGTGGCGTAAAAAATATTACAGAATAAATTATAAAAACCAAATGAGATTTTTTGGCGACTAAACAAATACAGGCCTGGCCCTGAGGGCAGGCCAAAGAGGCCTGCGCCTTGGGCCCCCAGATTTGGGTTGAAAATAGGGCTCCAAAATATGATTTTGTATTTTAGATATAAAAAAAAAAATTCAAATACTATAAGCCCAATTGTATATGGGGCCTAAAAATATATATATATATATATATATATATCATGATAGATTAGAGGCCTAACTGACATGGGCCCAAAAACAAGAAACACTATAATTTATAATACCCACCATAAGGTTAAGAATGTGGGTCACTGAAAGAAAAAAAACATGGAAAGAAAAACATGTCTCTCTCTCTTGGATTGATCTCTCTCTCGCATTGGACTGATGAAACCTTCAGTCCTCTCCTACAACATCAAAATGGCCAAAACGACGTCGTTTTGGCCATTTGAGCCATATTTGAGCCACAGAATTAGGGCCCCCAAACATTTTTCAATTTATAATACCCACCATAAGGTTAAGAATGTGGGTCACTGAAAGAAGAAAAACATGTCAAGAAAAACATGTCTCTCTCTCTTGGATTGATCTCTCTTTGGCATTGGATTGATGAAACCTTCAGTCTTCTCCTCTCCTCCATATTTGTCGGACGTTAAGCATTAACAATTTTGGGCATCAAAATTCTCTCTCTCTCTCTCTCTCTCTCTCTCTATATATATATATATATATATATAACATTTAAATGGAAGAAGTTTTTGCCCTAATTTCTTGCCCTAATTTTCCTCCTAATTTCTTACCCTATATAATTTGTTCTTTAAATTAGAAAATTACCTAATCTATGTGCTTTAGTGGAAGTCTATAATTTTTGTTATGCTCTAATTCTGAAAGTATATTGGCTTCATTTGGGAAGTTGCTATTAGTAGGCTATTTTAGTTTTTGGCTATTTTAGTAGGCTAAAATTTGTGTTTGGGAAGATGATTGGATTTTTTAATGGTTGGATGTGATGTTTGTGAGAGAAAAAGTGAAATGATTATGGGTTTGATGTGATATTTTGTCTTATTAGCTATTTTAGCCTATTTTGTCTTTTTGTGAATTTTAGCCTAAATTAGGTTTTTTTTTTTCTTCCCAAACACCCCCATTATTTGCAGAGATCAATGGTTGTGAATTTGTGTGGATTTGTGATTAAAAAAGTTGTTGTAACTTATCATTTTATCCATTAATTTTTTTTTTTCAATGTAAGAAAGGCCCCATTTCCGAAGGTCGCTTTGGGTTCCCTAAATCTCAGGGCCGGCCATGAATAAATATCACAAGTTGGCTTTTGGTTACTAAAATTTTAGTCACCAATTGTCAAAAAGTGAAACTTTTGACTACTAAACTTTTAGTCGCTAATTGTAAAAAAGAAACTTTTGGTTACTAAATTTTTAGCCTCCAATTCTCAAAAAGGAAAACTTTTGGCTACTAAACTTTTAATCGCCAATTGTAAAAAGTGAAACTTTTGGCTACCAAATAGTTAGTTGCCATACATACATGCTTAATTGACTACTAAATAATTTAGTCGCTAAAAGTAGAATATATATATATATATTTAATTATTTTTAAAAAATATATAGCAACTAAAGTTTTAGTCGCCGATAGGTCACTTTTGGCTACCAAAAAAATTTTAGTCGCCGATTGTCTTCCCTGACAAACTATTTTCAACCAAATATACTAGTCGCCAAAAGTAATTGGCGATTAAAATAAGGCTTTTGGCGACTAAAATTTTAGTCGCCAAAAGTGAAATTTCTTGTAGTGATTCTTGTTACGGGACAAAACAAGTAATTCCACGCGCACTGAGACGAAGGGGTAGTTTCCCGAGATACGGTGGCATTTAGTTTCTTACCCATATACAACTAAATATAAATTGAGTACAAAATAAATAAACATAAACATAAAAATATGGCGGGGGAACCCTATATAAAAAGTTAGTAAGACCCACTATTCTGCAAAAAAAAAAGTTAGTATAATTTAATCATAAGTAAGTTACTGAAGAAGTATAAAAACGCACTGTTTCATGCTTTAATTATTTGAATTAACCAAAACTCAAAGAACAAAATTGTACAAAATCAAATTTCCTAAAAGGCAATGCGAATGAATTTAGTAAAAATTGAACAGGTTGAAAGAAAAACTTAATAGAAGAACCTAGACGAAATTTGATCGAAAAATCTGGAACTGAAAATGAAAAGAAACTGTCCTAAGATGATTTTTTTTCGAAAAAGTTCAAAATACGAAAAGTGTTCAAAATAATGTTTTACTTCAATTAACACGAAATCAATAAAAATGAACTCGTTTCGTGGGTTAAAACAACATCTAAAATTTGCATTGCTATCTTTTTAGTAAAAAAATTAAAATACAAAAGTTGTCTCGAATTACATATACATGCCTCTGTCCAAATTTTGTAATTTATCAAGGCTGTTTACTATTTTTCAAGATGTACAAATCAATACAATTAAAACTACACCAATAAGTTCATATTTAAATCATTGTACCTTAACTCCACCATTCCATCCCTTCACTTCCGGCCTACACATATATCCCATGTGCCTTATGTATACCTAACATCGCTCCGAAGCCAAACTTGCACGGGGATATTATAGCGATTCCAGTTTTGACACTTCTCTTGGGGTAGTTTGAACTCGGGTTGGTGTGGTTTCGAATAGCGATTCATATCTTGTTTCCCTTGTCTCCCCTTTATTTTGGTTATCGAGTTGTGGTTGTGTGTTTGAAACAGGTTAGTTGCTTGTTTTTCCAAACCTGTGTTGGCCAGAATTTTGGTCTTCTACTCGAGCGAGCCTTCTTGCGCTCGAGCGACATGTGTAAACTCTTAGTACTTTGCACGTCTACAAAAGTACTAGAGGGATGTTTTTCACGCTCGAGCGGGTGGACGCTCAAGCGGCCTTACTTACGCTCGAGCGGGTTATCTGCATAAGTACTAGATGTTTGTATTCTGCGCTCGAACGGAACCAAACTTTGTGTCTGACACTCGAGCGTCAACTTTTCTGCTCGAACGGACTGCGCGTATATCAGATCGCGAAAACATCATTTTATAACACTTTTTCAGATCTATTCTTCAAAAAGCCCTAAAGTGAGACCCTCTCTCTCTAAAACTTACCTTCTCTCTAGATTTCCACCTAGATTTAGTGATCTATCCACCCTACTTTCTATGATAAAAAGGTAGAGCTTCTCAAGATCTTCATTTTGAACCAATTGAAGTTGGATTTCGACATTTTTGAAGTTCCATCCGTGCTTGGCTCATCTTCTCTATTTGAGGTAAGGATTTTTTACACCTTGTTATGGGCTTTAACTTAGTTATTTGTGATTGTGTAACAATGGTGGTATTTGGGAATAATTTGAGCAAACCTAGGGTTTGGGTGAAATGTGAAAGAGGTATTTTTGATGGAAATGAAATAAATGAACATGGGGTTTGAAAATGAAGTATTGTGGTGTCAAAATGGGTGATTTTGGTACTTGGGTTGATATTTTGAAAAAAGGAATTTTTCCCCTAAAATGACTATCATATCTATTTTGTATAAATAGTTGAAAATTGGTGTTGTAAACATGGAATTGAGTGAGTATTGGAATGGATGGCGGAATTGAAAATGAAATGCTTCACATCCTTGGAAATTTTGATTAAATTATCTGTCTTAAGATTGTATATCTGTTTAGAAATATCTGTATTGGGCTATCGGTGGAGAATAGTTTTGATTGTTGTAGAAATTGCATGTGAATTAAGTGAATTGAAACTAGTCCATCGTTGATTATCATTGAATATGATCATATTGTGAATACATTGTATATGTATGATTATTTGAGAGGAGAAATGAGATATACTCCATGCGTGATAATGTGTTTATATACATTGCATATGTATGATTGTTTGGGAGGAGAAAGGGAATGGACTCCATTATAATTAAGTTGGCCGAAGTGTCCTGGATGAAAGTCCCGAAATTTATACATGGGTGTCGATCCCGCAGGCGAAATATCCGTAAAATGACAAGTTGAAATTATACATGGGTGCCGATCCCATAGACGAAATATCCATAAAATGGCAATTGGGAGTGTTTGTGTGTTAAATGTGAAATTGTTGAACCATTGAGTTGTAGTCTTATTTGGACTGTTGAAAAATAATGAAGTTGGCTCATGTATTGAAATGTATAGAAGGGAAATGAAACAGAATATGGACTTGATATTTTATGACTATATAAAATGTGAATGTTTTATCACTAGTATTGTACATGCACATTACACTTATATCTTTGTTAAACTTCATATATTGTGTTAGATTGTTGTTACTGGGCTGTGGCTCACCCTATTTGGAAAAATCATTTTCAGGTAATGACGGCATGACTCCAACAAGGCAATAACATTGGAGGGACTTCTTTTGGGAAGCAAGGGCTTCTATGTTCTGTTTCATTACTTGTATAGCCTATGGCTTTAATTGTAAGAGCTAGTCTCATTTTTGTTGTAACCAAGCCAAGACTTGGAAAAGTGTAAGTCAATAGGGCGTTTAATTATGTTAAACTTCTTTTGTATCAACTCTATGTAATGAAAAGACGATTTACTCTGATTTATGCAGTTATTAATATATGTTTGGAGTTTTATTTCCGTATTATTTTGGGGTGCGTGACAGATATCGTCCCGAATTTGACCCACACTCCTCGGATGGATAGTATATACATACCCGCGTAAATCAAAGCACTCGTTTACTCTTGAGAACGAGGCAACAATATATATATATATATATGCACAATCTCTCATCTACTCATGAGAACAAACATAACAATGCCGAGCTTAAGGCATTCAAATAAATCTCATAATCCTCACTTTTTTTCTTCTTCTTTTTTTTTTTTTATACACTCTTTCTCACCAGCACTCAAATAAAACAACAATTCATGGAGTCATGATGGA